AAGGGAATAGGTAGAGGGTACCTGAAGAAAGTGTGAGATGCAAAGACATATGCGTGGCTTGTGAAGTTGATAAAATCATGTAGGATCTTAATGTTACTTAGTTAAGTAATTTGGGAAAACCACACCTCCATATTCTGTACTCCTTACAGAAACTCAGTCCAGTTTCTAGAGACAAAAAGCCAAAAATAAAGACAGAAATTTCCCAAGCTTGACAATCGGACCCTGACTGCTCGAACCCTTGTCCAGGGACTTGTGTTGTCTCATATAAACATTTATAACCCAATTTCCATGACTAATGATGTCTGAACTCAAATGGTCAATCTCAACAGACAAATGATGATTCACTACATTAGAAGATAACAGAAAGTCAGCCTGTTCTCTCACTGGCAGAGATGAGGCTAAGCAACCTCTCCCTTAATTGTCATCAATCACATCCATCCACTATTAGGTGAGTCCTTCTTTCAGAGCTTGACAGGAAGCACCTTTCTGTGGGACTTCTCGGACAGGTGCCCTTTGGAACTCAATGCATTTCTCCCCATTGCCATTTTCCTTCTGATCTCTTAATCTGTAGACAGAACCATGATGTGTCCAGGGTCTTCAGTTTGTTTATTTTCTTTTATTATACATTTCATGAATCTTTATGCTTTGAATCACTTTCATTACTATATCCTTATAAGAAATTATTTTCTAATCCAACTTTTTTTGTAAAACTATCCTGTCGGTTGTCAAACAAACACGCCCCACATTTCCCTGTTTCATCTGATCAAACATTTCCGTCCATTCCTTCTCGAATGCAGCTTCTGCACTATCATAGCACCCTCATTAGTTTTTCCCTCACTGCCTATTCATTTCTTTAAACTTGAAACATTCATAGATTGTGTTTCCCTTAAAAACAGCCACAAACACAGTGTCCGTTAGAAACCAGTATCACAAATAGCTTCATTGCCGAGGCTCATGGGATAACATGCTTGCATCATGGAACACTTCTCAGACACTGCATTGTCTCTGGTTCTGATATAAACTTATCTGCAAGACACCAACTCAACTGCCTTCACTTAGGTGTGAAAGAGTGCATCCTTGGAAGAAAATGCACATTTTATTGTAGTTCAGAATTTTGCAGTGGTAGGGATATCAACCATTAGGATTCATTTAAATTGTCCTGATTCTCAGAGTTTCAATTCATAGCAAAACAATCAAAACGGCAGAAAAATAATTTGATTTCTATTACATTTGAGAAATATTACATCACTGAAGTTAAAATGCCGGGTGTTGGCAAAACTAGCCAAGAAATGTATCTTGGTTTTTGAGCTATGACAAACATGTGTTTCCATAGGGCACTTATTTGGACTTTTCCCTCACAGAATCCATTTCCACAGCACAAGCCTTAAGCTCCCTCAGTGAAAAGGAACAAACAGAATGCCTCCCACCTACAGAGATTCAATTAATCACTACTGAGTGAATAAGTGAACAGTAGATTAGCTCTTGATGCTGAATTGCTGTGAAATTTATTATGCATAGTGTTTGTTTGTAACTGCTTATGACTACAATGTTTACTGAGTTTAATTAATTCAGCTGCTGAAAGCTGTTGGCTTGTGGAGGTGGCATCAAAATAAAAATTAAAACAGTCATCTGGACTCATCCAAACAATTAGATTTTGGTAGAAATTAAATTTCATAAATGCTTTCCATATAAATAAACAGTTAAAAAATAGGTAATATTAGAATTCCCTCTTTTTAAATTTTTTTAAAATTAGAGAATTTCAGAGGAGTACTATATTTATATCATTTCTACCCATCTCCACCCCTCATTATCTTTTTGCATCCTTTCCTTTCTCTCTCAAACCCATTATCTATTCTTCTAAAATTATTATTTTTACACATGTATAAATGTACATATGTAAAAACATATGTATACAGCCACTCAATCTCTAAAGAATCAGTTTAGTGTTGCTCTTATATAATATTAGGAGAATTTTTAAGACAGAAAGTATCTAGAGTCAAATGAATTATGAAGAAAATCAAAGATTGATAGTAGAATTATATTTTAAAAATAGTTTATGGAAAGAAATAAAAAGTTTTGAGTAATCTAGAATATATATCAACGAAAGTTTATCAAATGTTGAAAAGTTATAGAAAACACCAAGTATTCGGTATTCTAAGTTTCTGGCAATTCTTGTGGCTAGAGAGAGGCCTCAGCAGTTAAAAACACTGGCTTTTAACTGAGAGAACCTGGGTAGACTTCCATACATGCCAGAAATATGCTCATACACATAAAAATAAATAAATAAAATATTTAAATTTCTAGCAATACTAAAGAAAAAGCAGCTTGTTTTAGAATATCCAAAGCCTAATATATTACAAATGGTCAATTCTTAAAACAACAGTGTCTTCAATATCAAATAATACTCTGAGGGGGAAAAAATGAGTGACATCATAAAAATTGGAACTACCTTGAAAATCTCCCAGGAATTCAGCTAAGCCACATCCAATCCAATAAGGTGAAGGATTACATTAGCATGATAAAATAACAGAGATCATACAAGTGGGTTACTGTCAGGGTTTAGTGACAAGGACGGTGGGAGTCAGAATGATGACAGTGTGTCATAAGGGGCCACTATGGGCTGAGGAAGCTACTTAGTGTTTGGGCTGTGTTTTTAGACCCAGGAACATTCACAGGTGACACAACTGCATAGAAATGAAGACACAGTCACAAGCACATGCAAACACATAGGTATACGCACTAGCATATACACACACATACATTGGCAGCACACACACATATACATAGTTGCAAAAATATACATATGTACATACACACATTCACACGCACAAACAAAAATCTTTGTGAAATGTGAATGTTATCAATGTTAGTTTCCTGGATATCATGTTGAACTACATTTTTGCAAGCTTTCATCATTATGGAAATAATTAAAAGTAATAAAATTTTATGTTACATTTCTTACAACTGCATATTAATTCACAAATAATTCAAAACCAAAGTTATAAGCACAAAACAGTACATTACTACATCTATCAGGATAATAGATACAATACAAAATGCATCACTAATTAAACGCAAAATAACTAGTAACTAGACTGATCTTAGGGACGACAATTATTTTCACTAAAAATAATAAAGGAAAACAAAAAAGTCTAAATACATGCATCTATAAAGAGATATTTATTTTTGAAGCCTCATATTGAAAGAAGGCATAAATATACAATTACTAATCAATAAAAATATGGTTATCAATATGAATATAATATAGATAAAATAAAGATAGAAAGCTATCTTATCTTTTCATTAAAATAAGATCCAGTTGCAGAAATTCTAAATTATCTTGTGTCCAACAGCAAATCCATATACAGGAAATTTAGACAAACTAAATTAGAAATACATAAATGTACCATTAAATTGAAAGACCTTAGCAAGCCCCTCCATATTTTATAATATGAAGACAAAAATCACCGTTCACAATGCTGAGTAAAAGAACCCCTTCTAAATATATGCCTCCTATGTGAAATGTGTCGATCATTTTACTAAAAGTGATGACACGTGACCTTTGTAGGAGTATGTGAACATTTCCCGAAATAATACGTATGTCGTGTAGGCAAAGCCTCATGAAGTATCAAAGGGTAAAAAACATCCATGGTGAAATCATACTAAGAACAAAAATAATAATTAAAAATTCTCACATCTTGAAATGTTGCAATACACTTTTGAATAGTCTATGGTTAAAAAATAGGAAATACTATTAAATAAGTGAAAGACAGATTATCCATACTAGTGAATTTTGAATACTGAACGAGAAATTGTAGCCTGACTTTAGAGATCCCCTAATGCAACTAAAGACTCTTGAACAAACAGGCCCAGCACAGGAAGTCTGGCAGGTGGGCAGGGAATGTCCAGGGATCTTGGACTTAATAACAAAGAGAAGATTCTGGGCTTCCTTAGTGCCTCTCACACATCCCCCTAGGGACTTGCAGAAGTCTTCGACACTTAACTGCCACAAGCAGAAGAAATAAAAGCTCTAAGTTGAAGGAAAGATGGAGGCATCAACCAACCATGTGACTGTTTTGTTACTGCCTGCCCTGTAGAGCAGCTCTTTATGCCTGAGCTCCATGGAAAACAAAGAAGATTCTGGGCTTCCTTAGTGCCTCTCACACATCCCCCTAGGGACTTGCAGAAGTCTTCGACACTTAACTGCCACAAGCAGAAGAAATAAAAGCTCTAAGTTGAAGGAAAGATGGAGGCATCAACCAACCATGTGACTGTTTTGGTACTGCCTGCCCTGTAGAGCAGCTCTTTATGCCTGAGCTCCACGGAAAACAAACAGGTATCATTATTTGCAGAAAAGCTTCCCAGAGCCTGAAATATCTACATCAAGAAGTTATGAGGCAAAATATCAAACTATGTAAGTCAAAGGACAGAATCAAGAAAAAAAAAAAAAGGCAGAAAGTTGTGATTTAAAATCCATTACATAAAGGAGTCCAACAACTCCCCAGATCTGGTTATTAAAATATAATCAAACTTACACACCCCTAGCAAATCTGACAAAGATAAACAAACCACCAGGCACTTGTTTAAAAAGATGACTAAGAGTGGTAAAAAATAAGCTACTAGGTTCTGGGTTTTGAGCAGGGATAGAGCACACACTGAGCTTGACTAAGGCTCTGGGTTAGATCCCCAAGCGTCACTCAGACATAAAATGTATCATCTCTATAACGCATGGAGAATAAAACAACTAAAATTAGTACAAGAAAACAAAAGACGGCGCAATAAAATTGCAGTGTACAAACACTGGATCCATTGCCACAGAAAAGAACCATGGGCTCCAGGTGTTTGTCTCCATACTTCACTCCTGTTCTGCCTGCCGTGCAGCTTTCCTTTGGATTTTGAAAAACATGCTAAAAATGAGGGTGATAAAGCAGCTTATGTTGAAAGATGAGTACAGGCCTCCTTGCTCAGTCACACAGTTTAGAACCCGCAAACGAACTCACCGACTCAGGTCGGTCCCGGGCACATACTGGGAGAAGCGGGCGTGCAGCAGCGGGATGAGTCTGAGGTCATACCACCGCTTCTCCCACCGCAGGCCTGGAGACGTGGGCCATGAGGAGCAGGAGAGCGTGTCCTGCAAAAAGCAACATGTTCAGAAGGTTTGTGCTTCTGTGCTTCGCGAAATTTGTTCACAAACTCTTCATCTGGGGGTTATTGATTTGTCTCTAAATTTCAGGGATAGTTTAATAGACTTTGACATGTTCATGAGAAGAAATCCATACTCTTGGGCCCAGAATTGTACTTCATAATTCATTGTTAACAGAGATCTGTAAGAAGGTGAGGAAGGGTTCACCCAGAAAATGGATGAAAATCATGGACGGGAAGAAAGAAAAGAATCAAAGCATGGTAGAATGGGATTTGTTAAAGAATAAAACAGATGGGGTTGATGGATGACCACAATAAAACAGAACATGACAAACTAAAATAAGCAGTAATCCAATTAACCAAGAGTTTAGTGTTCCTGCTGGAGGTGAAAGGCCATTAGAGCTTACTTTGAAACATATTTTAAAGACCACAATATAAATACAGACTGGATATATTCATTAGGATCCTTACAAATTTCTGAGAATGCACACTCCCGTAAGAACCCCTCAAAGCCTGCTCAAGGATCTCTATCATCGTTTCCATTTCAAGTTACAAAATGTTTACATTTTTTGCTATTGCTTTCAAGTCATGTCACGGATACTATAGCTACTTTAAAATTACATTTGCTTCTGGTTTTATTAGGAAATTACCCTCATATATTAAAGAGAAATACATTTGAATAAAATTGCCTTTTTCACTTGATGTCTGATTCTAGCCACACTGGAAGTCTTTTTGGCCATCCATTCCAGCATCTGGACTCCAAATGTATACTGCAGTTCCTTTCTACTAGGGCACTGTTGACTTTGTTGCAACTCTACATACTGATAAAGATGGTGTAAAAAGGTTTTGTTTTTTTCTTCACTGTAGATTTCATACTCTTTTGTCTAAATAGTGTTAAGCATTACCTTCAAGTATTAACTTGTTTAAGTGTATTAGGAAAGAGTAAGAAAGTACAGAAGACAAAAATTAAATATCAAGAAAATCAGAGAGACAGGTAGCCCAAAGGGCATCTGCTGGATACAAAGTAATATGATGTTGGGTTCCAAAGCATAACTAGACCTCCCAGGTTGGAATATCAAATATCTCAAGATAGTACTCCACTGATATGGGCTCAACTTAACATTTCTCTGTCTTCTTGGTCCTGTTTATACACGGGCAGCAAGAATAGGCAACTGATGACACTATAGTCAGAAATAATTAGGAAAATGCTTAAACTATAAGTTAGCTCTGAGTTTCATGCGCTCTCCGAAAAGCAAATGAAAATTTGCATTTACTCATAACAATAGATAAGAATATAATGAATTTTCAAAAAGATTAATAAGCCTGCGTACTTGAGAAACCTATTTTTAAACAGCATTCTTCCAGGATAGACATTTCACTATTCTAAGCTTCCTTCTACTGCTTATACTCTTTACCTAGACTGTTTTCTTTGAATTAATTCGATCTTTTGCAACATTTTTGCAAAACGTATTACTACTATCATTTTGAAGAGTGCATTTAGAAGCAGTAAGGGATTGCTTCCCTCCTCTCTGTATGTGGCACACTGGGGAAGCTAGAATGTCATGCAGCACAGTTGAGGCAAATTCAGACTTGCTTTTCATGGCTAGCACAACATACGCAACATGTCAATCTGTATCCTGCCCTTCTGTCAAATGTCATGAGTACCTTGTCAGTGAATGAGGCCAGTGACTTATGCCATAGATAGCTCATGATGCCCTGTAAAGAACCCACATCATCCTAGGACCCCGCGTGCAAGTAGATCTCTGAGAAGTTCATTTACTGAGTTAGTCAGTCAGTGACAGGCAAAGATAATTTATTCATTCCAAGCAGTGCCTCTGTGAATCCAGGGCAAACACATCGATCATGCCACATTGAACACTTATGAGAAGAAACCAAACAATGGAAAGGACAGTTCATATTTTTAGTTGGTGATTCTATATACTAGCATAAGTTTCAGTAAATAAGTTAAATATGACTTTGCATCTTTTATAAAAGGTAGTAATAATTACCTACGTTTTTTATTTCTATCCATAAAAGATCTAATAAATAAGAGCATTAAAATACTGAAGGAATGAGGCATGGAGAAGGGTGGTAACCAGCGCTGATGGCTATGGTGTCTGTGACAGCACTGCACAATGCTGCAGAGGTGCAAGTATCTAAACCTGTTAAAATCTGTGCTATCACTGCAACTCAGTACTTTTATATATTATTATGGAAAAAAATCACTTCATTTCATACTCCTCCTTGTAAAATTGTGAAACAAGCCAAACCTCACTTTCAAAATAATAAATGTTTTACTTTACGCCTAAAATGTGTTATACTATACAGCAGTTATTTACAACGGAATATCTAATGTTATTTAAGGAAAATCCTTACTATTTAACTATGAAAAAATTGCTTTGAAGTCTTTCTTGCAATTATCAATTACTTTGATCATATATCATGGCCTAAAATACAGTATATGATTTTGAGAAGCATATATCTGACAAAACTTTACAGTGTTAAGAATGCTGTTTCCTAAAATATTTGTTACATAAATGCAAGAAATAGAATTTATATATTCCTTGCTTTCAAACAGGCTTTTTCTGAAACTTAACACATGACACACAATGACCTCAAATTAATCAACTTGCCAAAACAGAATTCAATGTGGGGAAATATGCCAGTATGCATCATGTCTGGAACTAAGCACAGGAAGCTTTCTGTGATGTGCAGAATCAAGAGAAATGTTTTCATAGTTTGGATGCCTTACTGTCTGAGTAAGTCTTCTACTGAGTATGGAAGAAACTTAGTCACTTCCTCTCCAGAGAAGGAAATTCAGTGCTGCAGGGTTCAGCCCAGAAGCCTCAGTCTTAGCAAGATGGGATAATTATGCCTGTAACTTTGGTGACCTTGAGTCCAAGAAGGATTAGACTTGGTAGAATAAAAATGTGAATCTAATATAGCATAAGGCTGCATTTCTACAAATAGCTAATTTGCTACCATAGAATACAGTAAGGTTATTTCAGCAACACAATATCCTGTTAATGGAAATTTGTTTTAAAATAATATATAGAGATTTAAAATGGAGTTCCATACTATTTCTAACTTTTCATATGCTAGCTAAAATGATGTAAATCTCTTAGAAGGGAGGTTCTCTACCTTCTTCTTTATTGAAGCTTGTTTGCAATGTGAAAGAGAATTATGAAGGGCAAGAGGCTACTCTGCAATCAGATGAAGTGCTTCTCTGCAAGCAGCAGAGCTCATGTTGGGTTTGTTGTCTCTAAACATTTAGAACTCAACTAAATCAGTATTCAGAGACTCCTCAGCCCACGTCAGCTGTGAGAATGCTGGTAAGCATTTTTCTTTTTCTGTTTACATTAAAGTTGATTTGAAGGATTTGATTATAGAACTGGATTACAATTTGGGTGTCAGGAACCAAAATAAACTGCTCCCCAAAATGCCCCATAAAATATCTCTACACAGTAGAGTCTCAGCAGAACTTCACGGAGCTGAGATACAGAGTCATTTTCCATATGTTCCATTTATGTCTTTGAATTGGCATGAGTCTTGTTCTTTTTCTCTAAATCGCCATAAGCTTACCTTGCACTAAGTTATGCCCAGCAATGTCAAAATAGAGCTCAATATAAATGAGAATGTAACATATCTCTTGAAAACGCACCTGGCACAGTATAGGCACATGCAACTGGTACTTAGTTTTATATAGTTGATTGTGTTTGAAATGGTCAGGTGATAAAATCAGGGTGGTTGTCGTGATCTCATTATTAATTTTCTGAAAGATGACTTTTTGTTGCTTTAATGTAAAACAATGGAATGAGTTGAAAAATAAAACCAAAAATAAATCCTCCCCTTAAACTTTACATTCTGGCTTCCCTCGTCATCATTATTATAAAGGAAGTTAAGTGTATCAGACAACAACTAGATGAAGAAAAAACCGAAGAACTTTTTCCCACTTCAATGTGCAGTAGCTAATTTTTTTCTTCTGTCTCAGGAGCTAAGCTAATATAGGGATTCTTATGTGTTACTTGTAGAAGGGCAATTATCAGAGGAAACCTGAGGAGACCAGAAGAAGCCAAGGCTAATGAGGGTAGCAATTTGGCCAAGATGTGCTCCATCTCCTCTGTAGGACACTTGGATGAGATCTGCTTTGATCCTTCCTCTACTAAGGCACACAGACACTTGCAGTGAAGACAGGGGCCTCTAACTACCACTCAGTTGCCTCATAAGACCTGTCAGCTGTGAAAAGAGGCAACTGGTCATAGCACCAGCACAATGATGGAGTATCAAGGGCACTTAAGAACAGATGCTCAGGAAACACATAAAAATAGGTTAAATAGATGGGCCTAGGGAAGTTCTGTGGCATAGCACAATATGCATGAGGTCGTGGATCTACCCCAGCAACACACACACACACACACACACACACACACACACACACACACACAGTTGATTGGAGAATGTAAGGAGTCTGTATCCTTATGTAAGGAGTAGATGGGAGGTAATATATAAAATATAACATATATATGTATGTTAATACACATATATATATATATGCACAGTATATGGAAAACAATCTTTTAAATGACTCAGAACTTGACATCTTCAGATGATCAGTGTTTATGTTTCAACTATTATAAATCAATTATTTCTCTGATAATTAAAATTAAAAACAAAATTTGATGAAATATATCCAGATGTAGTGGGCTTTTATAAAAGATCCTTACATTTATAGCAAGATTCTTTGCTCTTGCAAAAGTTCTTCTCTTCAGCTTGGGCTATATAAGGAGACAAGAAAGAAAGAAAGAAAAGAAAAGAAAGAAAGAAGAGAAAAAAAGTGGCAGGTACTTGGTAACCTGAGTACCTCAGTTAAGGGATAATGTTGATGCAATTGTGTATCACAAAAGCCATTAGGACTTTCAAAAATTCAAATGATTTTTTGAAATAAAATTATATAATTAAGTAAATTTCAAATAAAGAATTATACAAGTCAGAAGAGAAGCTATATTCTTTATAAAATATTTTAATGGGAACAGGAAAAAATCATACTTATGATGAGCTATGCTACAATTCATAAGTATATTTATGAATGTTTATTTATGTTGCAAGGAATAATTAATAGCTCTACATGTAGCCAGAGAGAATTGTTTTCTCTTTAGAATGTGTTGTTTGAAGGCTAAATATAAAGAATTTAAAAAATATCTACAGAGAGAAAAGCCACTGTTCTGTAAAATATAAGTGGAAAATAAACTTAAAAATCAATTAAATATTTATAAAACCAGCATGTTATTTTTATATTTTATTAAATATGCATGCAATTTAACACTAATTAAACTTTATCATAATGCATAGATTAGATTATATTTGTTATATAGATAACAAATAATGGTTACTTTCAACTAAATAATATAAAAATAAAAGTGGTAAGATTATGGTATGATCATGAAATTATATACAGCGTGCGACATTCTAGAATGACTGTGAGATGCTGATGTTGAATGGCCTCTCCTGTCAAAATCGCTGCTTACAGAGGACCTCGTTCAGCCCCGAGGAGAGAGAAAGAGTAGGAAATAGCCAGATATTTATTTTTATTTTTCCTTCTTGGCTCACCACTACTTAAATGGTGATTAAATAACTGAGGATTTCATATCCATAAAATAATTAGATTTAATAGTAGTGTTACTGCACTGCAAACACATATATACTCTGCTCTTGAGACATTCTTATGAGTGTGAACTGTGCCCAGACACCTTACTGTGTTATTGGGATGGTAGTTCAGGTGCAAGCCACTGTCACAAAGAGGAGAGGAGGTGCCACTGCTCTGGTCACTTGGAGCACCTACAGGAGACAGAAGAAACAACAGCATACAGGTTACAATGTCATGTTATTTTAGAGTGACAACATCCAATTAATTTCAATAGTAAGAGGTAATCAAGACTAAAATATCAATAAATTTCTCATATACCAAAGCCATATTTGGCAAGTAAGCTAAGTGACCACAGACATCAGGGCACTGAAAGAGACTCTCAAGATTGATTTTTTTCCCTCAGAGCTTGCATAGTGTTCTCCAAAACTATGAGAGCTAGTCTTCAAGGAGGAGGCTTCCAGGTCAGTTCAGCTCCATTGCTCCAAGTTTTGTGCTGAAATGTGTCCTGTCTTCAGTAATAGATGGTGAATATCTTGAATGTAAACTAGCAAAAATTGACAAGACAGTCCACCAAGCCTATTGCATTAACTCTAGAGATTTACACACAGAGGAATTTTACCATTCCACACTAAGATTACTCTATAATTTAAAGACACAATCACTGTTAAAGAATTCATAAACAATTAAGCTGTATTTCAGTAAATTTCAATATATAGAAAAGAATCAGATTTTTTGTGTTCGTAATAGATAATTGGTCGATGACATTTTAAAAATATAAACTGCTTATCTTAAATGAAAGATATGCAAGTCAGCATTATTGAACATACTAAAATATGGTTGAAATAAGTGAAAACAAAAGCAAATTAAAAATTAGAGCTGATTTATTGACTAAAAAGAGTTAAAATTATGGTGTTAAGTCTCATGTGTCGATAAATATAAATTATTAATTTAAAAATTGCAATTGATTAGCAGATTCTAAAATATATGTTGTGATACAAAGGATAAAGAAAAGTTAAACTTGAAAAGTTATAAAATTAAAGAAGCTAATCTAGGAGACATGAAAATATTAAAGTTTTACAATAATCTGCACTGTGAATTTGGAGAAAACATACAATGGAAATAAAAAACAAGAATTTGTTAAAAAATAGATCCAAAAACATATTTCAAACAATATCGAGTATATATAAAAACATATAGCTGTGTATATCTGTGCTTCCATCTTGATTCTTGACTCACATGCACAAAATAATTTAAGATATACTCTAAATTGACATAGAAAAATGAAAGTGATAAATCACTATGATAAAAACATAAAGCTTGACTTCCCTACAACCTGAGCAATTCCAATCTTCCCACCCTACAGTCTGTTCTCCTGGCCTAGGGCACAGGCTTGCTTTTGCTCTTAGCACCCTGGATCTCTGGACTACCCTTTTAATCCAACCTGCCCATTGGGTCCCGATTCCCTGCACTCAGATCAGCTCCATTTTTCAGATTAATTTCTTTGAGCCTTCCAAAGCTGTCCCCTCTCCACAACTTCCCTTTGCACTCCTGAGACAAGCCTGCTACCTTGGCTGTTCCCACCCTCAACTTGCCTAGAATTCCCCACAACCTTCTTCCTTGGTGATTCTGCCCACTGGACCTTGACCTCCCTACAGCCTGAGCAACAGCAATCTCCCCGATCCTACATCCTGTTCTCCTGGTCTTGAGCACAGACGTGCTTTTAGTCTCAGCACCCCAGATCTCTAGACTAACCTCTTTAACTCCAAGCGTTATTGAGTGCTCCAAATCTCACAAACTTATCCCCCTACATTGGGACCATCTTCAGCCCCTCCCACTGCTGCAGGGCTAGGCTTCCCTAACACTTAGTAGGCACCCAAATTTTGTAGGCTCCCCGATATCACGTGTATCCAGCTTCTGCCTAACAAGCTTCCCAAACTGTGCTGTGCCTGATGGCTAGAAGCACCCAGACCTTCGGAGGAAGCCTGATAGCATCTGATTCTTGCCTGACATTGGCCTCTGCCAGAACTTCTGAGTAGCTTGACTAGAACCATCTGGTCCCTACAATATAAAATCAAAAGGGGGAACCTAAAGCCCAGACCAATAAGGTTTTCATACCCAAAAAGTAAAAGATCAAGGCACATCAATTATATAAACAGAAACGAATTTCAACTCAACAAAGGAAGGCTTGAGTCTCAGACAAAAATCACAAACAACAAAAGAAATCCAAAATCACAATGATAAAATAATATGAAAAACCCAAATACCAAACACCAACAGTCCCATAGAAGAGTTTTACAAGAACACCTAGAGATAACCCAGAACATAGAATTCAAAAGAACAATCATAAACATGATCAAAGAATTTAATAAATTTAAAGAGCAAACAAAGAAATCAAAGAGCTAAAAGAAGATAGGGCTAAACTTCTGACTGAATTCACAAAAGAGAAATATTGAAGAGAACTGAGGCTGAAATGAAGAGGGAAGTAAAACAATCAATAAGCCAGCTGTAAACAACAGGAGAACCTCATTTCTAGAACGAATGAAATGGAAAACAGAGCATCAACACTGGAGAATAAATCTACAGAATTGGACCACTCAAACAAAGATTATGAAACTAAAAAAAAAAAAACAAAAACAAAAAACACAGGAATGGAATATGCAGGAGATGTGGGCCACCAGGAGAAGACCAAATTAATGCATTATAGGCAGAGAGGAAGGAGAAGAATATCAGAATAGTGGTATGGACCAGATCTTCAATAGGATTGGAGAAGAATATTTCCAAAAATTAAAGAAAGATATCCTCACACAAATACAAGAAGCACATAGACCATTAAATACACAGGACCAGAAAAGAACAACCCCCCCCCACACAGAGATTATTATAGTAAAAACACTAAATGTATAGAACAAAGAGAGAATACTGAAAGCTGGTACAGAAGAAAAACAAGTCACACATAAAAGAAAACCTGTCAGAATTACAGCAACTACCCTGGGTCCCCTGATGACATAGTTCCTCTTTTACCAAACCAAACTGCTGCCTTGATCCTTCCATGATGCAGATCATTTGCCTCTGCTGACATCAGGCCCCCACATTTCGATTTCACCTCTTCAAATGCTTTCTTCTCTCCTACCCTGTTCACTGCCTTCCTTCAGCAATGTGGGTGTCTCCCTCTCAGAGCTGTCTGTTCTCTCTCTCTCTCTCTCTCTCTCTCTCTCTCTCTCTCTCTCTCTCTCTCTCTCTCTCTCTCTCTCTCTCTCTCTCTCTCTCTCTCTCTCTCTCTCTCTCTCTCTCTCTCTCTCTCTCTCTCTCTCTCTCTCTCTCTCTCTCTCTCTCTCTCTCTCTCTCTCTCTCTCTCTCTCTCTCTCTCTCTCTCTCTCTCTCTCTCTCTCTCTCTCTCTCTCTCTCTCTCTCTCTCTCTCTCTCTCTCTCTCTCTCTCTCTCTCTCTCTCTCTCTCTCTCTCTCTCTCTCTCTCTCTCTCTCTCTCTCTCTCTCTCTCTCTCTC